TTTTTTTGGCATAGCTAAATGCCTTGAAAATTTAAAGATGTGTATTTCACATAATACAAAACCCACTAAAGAAGTTTCAAAAAATAATAAAATTGTTTAGACCCCGAAGTAAAGTGAAAACAAAAAGTAAAAAGTGAAAAAATATGTGGGCGAGCACGTTTTGACACCGCCATCTTTGGCGATTTTTAATTCTTATTTGGCTTAGCCAAATGACTTGAAAATTTACAGGCATGTACCTCACGTCATAGAGAACTCAAGAACAAACATTCAGAGAAAAATAATTATTTTTAGGCCTCGAAATAAGTTTTGGCGGGGGCCGAACGCGGTCGGGTTCGGATTCCGTACGGGACCCTGAAGGCCCGTACGTACGGAGGTCTCCCCGGGGACCTCCGTACGTATGGGCTGGTGACCCTGTATATATATATATATATATATATATATATATATTGGCTAGGCTACCAGCCGGGCTGCCCGGGTCACCCTGTTTTCCCCAGCAGCACCGCCTTGCAAGAAAAAAGGAAGGTCCGAGAAAAAAAAAAAAAAAAAAAAGTTATCATTGTTATGCAGAAAAATAAACTCAACAACTTTGGCCTCAGGGTCGTGGAAGTTCTTTACCAAATTAGCCACAACTAGTCTTAAGTGAGGAAAAAGTTGTTCGCACGCACGTTGGTATTGCGATGCCCGGGCGGCGGAGGATCGAAGTGGGAGACTGGAGCTTGAGTGAGAAACCCAAACAAAAACGCAAAACAGATGAAAGAAAACATGCACAGAGAGCCGTGTGATAGGCGACCATCTCGCACGGTTCGGAGAGCACTTGTTAAGACGGTCTAGGCTCGACTCTTTCTTCGAGCCTAGCGGTGGAACTCTTGACTCTATTCGTGTTTTAATGAAATTATGTACCCGTAAAAAATGGTCAGGAAATCCTGGCCTTACGGGTACCACCTTCCCCTGGCGGGCCTGAGTCGTATTATACACTTATTGTGTTCTTCATGTGGGCTTGCTGCGGATAAGCTGCACTTAGCCACGACTTGCTGTTGTGTATGGCGGAGGTGGATAGGTGATAAAGCGTGTGGGCGCTGAGGTGGAGGCTGCTTCGAGGGGGCACAACCATGCACCTGCTATAGCCTAATCTTGGCCAACAAGAGTTGGTAATCCTAGATGCGGGGTTGGTCAACGGGCAAGATCTGTGCATCGTGTATATCAGTATTGTCACCTGTTCAGGGGCTTTGCCCTCTGATTACAAATACGGAACATGATCATCTTGCAACAGCGGTTGCAGTTTTATACGTGCAAAGAGCTGGAGATGAAGTACAAGAGTGCATCGACAAAGGTCGACTTTCAGGCGTGAGAGAACGGACTTCATGGCGCAACCAGTATCGCTCACCATCCCTGACAATGGGTTTCAAGCTGCGACCGGGGTTGTCCATTGTTGTCTAAGCTCCTACTTCGGGCATGGTGTTGCCCATGATTCTCTTACCTTCGGTGCTTTCACAGATGCTTCATCGTATTTTCATATTTTTTGTCTTCTGAATATATAATAGTACCAATCACGATTGTTCGAGAACTTTGGGGTGTATAATTAGACTTTGTGGACTGGTAGTTCGTTGACTTTGTTTGTGGACAATTAGGGTAGCGTTACTTGGTAGGTAGGATTGGTGTTCATTAGGATCGTGATTTTCAGTGATTGGCTAAGATCTGCTACCTTGTTGTTGGTTGGCGATGTTAATTAGAGATATACAAAGTGTAGATTGTGAATTTTGCGAATGGTTGTTTCTTTTGCCCGTGGGTTGGTCCATCACGTGGGTTGCTTATTTGGATTTTAGTTGGGGTTACTGATTGGAGGTACATAGGGTATAGAGTTGGAACTTTGTGAATCATTTTGGTATTCTGTCCGTGGATAATTAGGATTATCATGCTTTTGGTCAGTGATTTGTTACCTTGCTTGGATTTCGCTAGATTAGGGTCGCTTAATAGTGTGACGGTTTGGAGAAGGGGTGGATTAGGAGATCGGTTTCTTAAATTAGAGAACGCGAATTTTGTTTTAGGGTTGGGATTGGGATTGGTTGTCATGACCTTGTGGGGCTGCCGTAGGGATAGGTTTGGCTGAGAGTGCCTTGCTTTGGCTGTTTGAGCGAGAGTGCCTTGCTTAGCCGAGCTTGCCTTGCTTAGCCCATTTGGACGCAGCAAATGATGTAAGTGATGTCGGGCCCGTTTTCCGGTTATATGATAGCTGCTTTGTTCGGTAAAGAAAAAAAAAAGAAAAAAAAAGAAAAAAATGTTTTACCAAATTGGAACTTTTTTTTTTTTTTTTTTTTTTTTTTTTTTTTTGGGTCTGGCTGGGTAAGTGGTTCCGGGGCACTCTGGTAGCCTAATGTTTGGCTCGTATTTCTCAAAAAACAAAAACTGAAAATCTCGGCGGGGGCTGACAGGCCGTAGTCGAGGCAGGCATCAAGTTCTTGACCGTCGGGCGCATTTCCCCTCGCGGTCATGACCGCGGGAGATACATAGGCCATAGTGCAAGGAAGATGAGCAATAGCGAACTTCAGCAATCAAACAACATCATACATATGAGTCCAGATAGTCTTGACCTCGAACCAACAACAGCATTGCATCACGAGAATCACCAAATAAGAACACACCAAGAGTTCATAATTTACAATGCTGAAATAGTCCCATCATCATCAACGAAGAACCAGAGTTGATATCCTATCTGGCGCTCGGCGCCCAGACTACAGGTGGTAGATCCTATCTAGCCTATACTACGAAGCCGAAAGATGACATCAACAACATTCCCGAAGTACGAGCATATGGCGACCAATGTCGCACGCTTCCAGCACCAGGTATGTCTCGCGCTACACTCACAACCTCGTTCCCCAACTCACAGATGCCACTAGCACCCAAGGACCACCCTGCGCCTCATCCAGCTTACAGCAGCGCAGCTCGGCTATGGCTGCGTGCTCCTTCCCTGCTCGCCCGTGAGAGCGTAGGCGCCAGCCAGCAAATAGCGCATCATGCAGCTAGCACCCGAATGCCGAATGAGGAGGCAGGCCCTTTCCTATATCCAATTGGCCTGCCTGCGTCCAGTCCCAGGAAGCTTTTTCTGTAGGCCCCTGTAGCCTGAGGCCCAACACGACGAGAACAGGCCTTGGGCCTGAGATGGTTGCATGTGCCCAACTGCCTTCGGCCTGTGTTCGGCCCGGTACCCGTATCCAGCCCAGGGCCTGCTTCTCATACATTCACACAGGTGGCCCAGGGCCTGGGTTCAACCAACTGGCGCTGCGCAACTGCCTGAATTTCCCTGAGTTGCGTGGTGGCCAGAAAAATGCCCTGAGGGCCTCGTCGAGCCTGCCTTCACTTAGGGCGGCCGACGGGCTGCAAAATGGGGCCTTATGGGGCTCATAGGCCTACTGGCCTCGCATTCCCTCCTCCTTAGCTTCAACAGTCCTTTGAGAAGCTCAATCTTCGATCATAGGGCGCTTTCCCTTCTGCAGAGATCTCTCGTATTGAGTTACAACTTGAGGAGCGGTCTTCATTAGCTCTTCCCTGGTGAACCAGCGGTCCTCCTTCGGATCAGTGTGGTGCCGGAACCGAACGAGGTACCGCAGCTTCGGTTTCGGAGGACGTCCCCTTCCTGCAGGTCTCTGAGCTGGCAGCTCCTTGTGATCCACGATGTCGTCAATGTCCACTTCTCCATCCATGGTTGGGGGGCCAGCATTGAGCGACGAGAAGGAAACTCATCTGTTTCCTTGAAAGGTGCAAGTTTGGAGGCATGAAAGACAGGGTAAGTTCGAAGATGACCAGGGATCCAGATAACATAAGATGAGCCATCCGGATCTGTCCCAACGATCTCTAAGACTTCCCATGGTCCAAAGTACTGTGGCATGAGCTTGCGGGAGATCATGTGCTCCTGTCCCAGTTCCGAGGACTTAACCCAGACTCTGTTCCCAACCTGAAATGAAGACTCACGGCGGTGTTTGTTCGCAGATTCGATTAACTGTTCGTATTTTGTTTTTTTCATCAATATGTTCCTAAGTACAAGTCTTCATGATCTTCTTAATAAAATCAAAACGTATTTCAGTAAGAACCTGTATAAAAAATCGTCGTTCTTTTATCTTTTTCTCAGTCTTAATAGCAGCTTTTTTAACTCCTCCAGACATTTGGTTTCAATTTTTGTGTGTTTTACCTATTTATGGTGTGATAGAATCTAACTTTTGCATCTGTTCTACTGCCTGCTGCATTTTCTGTTCATATTTGTAGGCAAACTCTAAAGTACCCAGTGCAGCAGTTGATTGATTCTCATGAAGAGAAAGTCAAGGGGTAGTCTAGGCTGGAAAGTCAGTAGTAAATTGTTCGGGTTCACCCCAGTGGCGTTGTGCACAGCATTGTTGTACAGGCTGGCGATGAGAGCAAGTTTCTTATCCCAGTCCACTTGATTTGGCTTAATATAGTGTCTCAACAAGTGTTGCACAGCGCGATTGAGTTGCTCAGCCTGTCCATTGGCCTCTGGGTGATTCCCATAAGCCATTTGCAACCGAGTTCCCTGCTCTGCAGCAGCGACCTTCCACAACTCACTGGTAAACCGAACATCCCGGTCACTGACAATAGACTTCGGTAAACCGAAGTCTCTAACCCAATTTTCTTTGAACATTCGGATCACGTACTCCGTCTTTGCTGTTTCCGGCATGGCTACTAACCGAGCATACTTACTAAATTTATCCACGATGACGAAGATGTGTCGCATCCCACTCTTGCTGGTGATCATAGTATCCATGAAATTCATGGACAGACTCTCACCAGGCCGTTTCAAAATCGGAAGGGGCTTCAGAAGCCCAAGAGGAGCCTGAGTATGTGGTTTGTCCCGTTGACAAACTTGACAAGTCTCCATGTATAGCTGGGCATCTCGCATCATCGTGGGCCACCAGAACCGCTGCAGCAAGTTGGCTGCGGTCTTCTTATACCCAAAATGGCCGGTGGCATCATGACACTCTCCTAAAAACTAACTACGCAAAAACTCACTATTTGGAACACACAAGCGTTTACTCCCTGCCTTCTCCAAGAACAGCAAGCCATTGACCAACTCAAACTCAGCGGAGGTCTTCTTATCCTTCGCCTCAAGTCTGCGTATGATCTCAGACATAAACTGGTCCTTGCGAAAGGCTTCCACCAAAGACTTAGTAACATTGTCCGTCAGATCGAACTCAGTAATCAGCGCACCTGAGAAGTCCGGTCTGCACGACAAGGCATCTGCAACCTTGTTGTACTCCCCTTGGAGATACTGAGGGTCAAAGTCATATTGCTCAATGACTTCGATCCAATGCTTGAGAGCGTCAGAGAGTACCGGCTGGGTTCTCATCCATCTCAGGGTCTGATGATCAGTCCTGAGGATGAAGAACTTCCCAAGGAGATAGTGTCTCCAATGGGTGAAAGTCTTATACACAGCATAAAGTTCCTTCTCATAAGTGGACTTAGCCAACTTCAGAGACGACATTTTCTTGGACATGTACTCTACTGGCCTCAACTTTGGCCCCTCCTGTTGCGTGAGCACGGCGCCAATTCCATATTGGCTGGCATCCGTGGTGACTATAAACGGCTTATCAGGATCAGGAAGTTTCAAGACCTCGTAGTGCGTCAACACATGCTTCAGATTTCTGAAAGCAGCCTTGCACTCATCTGTCCACTCCCACGGGGTGTCAAGGCGGGTCAGATCAGTCAAAGGAGCGGCCAGTATGCTATAGTTCTTTACAAAAGTTTTGTAGTGGACTGTCATGCCTAAGAAAGATCTCATCTCAGTCACAGACTGAGGACGTGGCCAATCACGAATGTTGGTCACCCTCGCGTCATCGGGCTTCAACCCTTCCGCGGAGATCTCATGACCCAAGTACAAGACACGGGTGCGGCCAAACTCGCATTTCTCACCGTTGATCTTGAACTTGTCCTGTCGCAGGAGACCGAGGACTTTGTCCAGATGTGCAACATGTTCCTCGACAGTCTTACTAAAAATAAGTATGTCATCGAGGTACACGATGACAAACTTATCCAAGTAGTCATGGAATATCCGATTTATAGCATGCTGAAAGGTGCCAGGAGCATTGCAAAGGCCGAAAGGCATCACCACAAACTCGTACAGACCGTACCTGGTCTGAAAGGCGGTTTTGTGTTGATCCTCGGGCCGGATTGCAATCTGATGGTACTCGGACTTCAAATCTATCTTACTGAAGTACCGACACCCTTGCACTCTATCTAACAGATCATCGATGCGAGGTAGGGGATCTCTATTCTTTACAGTGATGGCATTGAGGCCCCTATAGTCAATGCACATCCTAAAAGTACCCTCCTTCTTCTTAGGTACGAATAGAACTGGAGACCCATAAGGAGAGACACTCGGCCGGATCCAACCCTTCTCTACGAGTTCCTTGAGTTGGCGGCGGAGCTCATTAAGCTCGCCTGAAGACATCCGATAGATCCTACCCTTCGGAATACTAGACCCTGGGATAATCTCTATCTCGTGGACGACCTCCCTCTCAACAACCCCTGTCGGTTCTTCAAATAGATCAGGATACTGAGCAACTACTCCCTCTATCTTCGACGGCATTTTCACCGGCGCGCCTGCAACAGAGACATAAACTAAGTACATACCCTCCTCCTCATTTTGCTTATAATAATTGTAGAACGCGGCCACACACATGCACCCGTAGGACTCAATCAGACTACTAGCTTTGAACTTATGTAATCTGGCGGTCCCTCCACCTGGCAACGTGTGTTTGACCAGTTTTCGGTCCCAGTCAAACTGGGGCTGTGCTACAAATAGGTAGTACATACCTAGTAACATGTCCATTGGGAGCTCGTCACTTACCAGGAACGAGACACGATGTCTCAAGTCCCCTCCCGCGTACGGGAAAACACACTCCACATTTTGGAGGCAGTCATTGACTACCATGCGCTGTTTGTTGGCACAGGTCGACTCCACAGGTCGACTCAGGCGTTGGACTTGCCCCTGTAAACGCAGCCTCTCAACGCACGCGCGACTAATAAAGTTCCTAGTTGAGCAAGTGTCATAATCATAGGCTCCGGCCTTGCGGCCGCCAATGACAACCTCGCTGACGAACATCTCACCCTTAGGGGCTTTGACTAAGCTCGTCCAAGAAGCTAGCGGGTCTGATCTAGACCACTCCACCTCTAGCTCCTCTAAGGACTCAAACACATTCATCGAACAGAGGCTCGATGAGTCTGAATGTGTTTGCGGGACGACACGGGAGTCAGTAGCTTGGGCCATCTCTCGAGATGGTGAGGGTGTCTCCACCACCTCGACCCTAGGAGGAACAACTACTATTCCTGCTGGCCCGACGTGTTTCTCGGAGCACTGCCTGAAGTGCTGGCAACATTGCTACCAACGGGTTGAGAGGATCCTAACACCTGTCCCATCGTAGGCGGGATATTTTCCGTCACTTTCTTGTTGCGGCGCTTGAATTGGCTGTGGCCATATTGACCACAACGAATACAATCCTGCCGTGTGTAACAGTCTCTCCACACGTCCTCTATAAGACCCGCTTTCTCCCATGGAGGAGCATTGGGGTCAACTTGACTCCTAGACCGGGAGCCTCCGCGGCGTCTACCGGTCCCCTTACCTTTTTGAGAAAGGGCAGCGACTACTCCACCCTCTGAAGCATCTATGCTGCCTGCCTCTGAACCTACTCCCTCCTGGAAGTTGCTGTCCACCTCGATGGTTGAACCATCRTTGTCGACAAACATCAAGCGACCTTTCGCTTTCCAGTTGGGAGGCAGTGTCTTCTTCCTCCCATCCGTAGTGGGTGCCTGTCCATGCCATATCTTTGCTTCAAGGTCTAGGGCCACCTTGCTAAACGAAGAAAAGTTGTGCATGTTGACATTGACCTCTTTTGCCAACTGGTTCCTGAGAGGCTGTGAAAAACATCTCAAGTACAAAGTCAACAGGACCTGGGGGTCATAGCGCACCCCTGGGACACAAATCAAACGCTCAACAACGTCGGTGGCTTCCCTTACTGACTTAAACTGCCGCGTATGCAGTGTCGGGATCGCATCAGTGGCCCTTTGGGCCTCCTGAGGATCATGCCACCTCTCTTCCACCATCTTCAGGAAGTCCTCCAATTTCTGGGAGGCCGCCCAAGCACAGAAGTCATGACTATATCCCTGGAGTTAAACTAAACCGCTCAACCATCTTGCTGCACTACCCTCTAGGTAGGAAGCAGCCACAAACACTTCTTCGTGCGGCAAGCTGAGTTTACACCTGACGTAAACCGGCACTGCCCTCAACCATGTGTCGAGGTCTTCACCTCTCTTATCAATGATGATTTTTTTTATTTTTTTTTTGAGAAAACAATCCCTCCAGTGCTAGTGGTGCTGGTAAGGGCAGACACCGCTAGCACCGAGGGAGAGGCTCCATCTATTGGTGGGGAGCATCACCTGCTGGAAAGCGGGTCCAGCGTCCCATATACAGAATGAAAGTAGTGGATACATGTTATGATTCTGGTTGTCGATTGTCTAAAGATCAACACTCACTCACATAGACTCCCAGGTATGCCCATACATACACAGAAGGAAGAGGAGAGGATAGGAGTATCACACCGCACAGGGAGAGAGAAACACAGCGGAAGACTTGACCATGCGATATGACAGGGTACACTGAGAGTGCAATTCACTCCACTCAATCGTCACAACAAGTCATAAAGCAAAGCCGAGTAGATCACATCCAAGAAACAATGAAACGATGATAGTCTGAACCCAGTATAAACACTGTTTATTAAACTCAGAGTCTCGAATTGTCATAATAACCTCAGTACTATGATGCGCCGCTCAGGAATGAGGAGCGCTCCACTCCCCAACCTGGATGAACCGCTATCACCATCCCTGAGCCCCTGAAACATCAAGCGCCACCCATATACAGCCTCCAGAGGGAAGCGCCACCCTGAAACAGGCATCTGAGGCGACGAAGTGTCGGAAGACTTCCCGGGTGGAAGTTTGCAGCAGTGCCACCACTCCTGACAAGATGATCTCTGAGGAAGAAGCTGCAGCTATGGCTGCAGCGCCACAACCCTGTAACCCTACTCCAAAGGAGGGTCCAGCAGGGCACCAACTTCTCTCGCCTCCAGCAGACCTCGAATAGCCCAGACCTCTGTACAGCCCCGCGTGCTGACAGAGTACAGCGCAGGTCCCAGCTATGGTCGGCGCTCCGAAGGTCTGGTTATGTCAGTCTCCCTCAACGCTGAGCTGTCACCACTTCTAGTTCACCCGTTGCACAGCCGCGATGTACTCGGTACCAACTGCCAAAAGCCTTGAACCGATGCGCCCACCCTATCTATAGTCTACTCTAACCTAGACTCGACCTAGACCGGACTGACTGACCGACCGGTCCCGTTTCTGTTTCGGCCTCTAGGGCCTCTCCCAACCCGGCTATAGGCTATAGGATCGTCTATCAGTTTAGGCCCTTAGGGCCTGTCTGTCCTAGGCGTAGCCCGGGCCTGCTATTCGCAATTAGGGTAGCTGTAGGAATTCTAGTTAGTAGAGGCCTACAGTTTCCCAAATTTGCAGATATTTCCCTAACGAATTCCCTTACAGGCAGGTCTCTCGGTTAGCCCTCAGCCAAACAAAATTAAAAATGTAACCTACAGATGGTACAGCCTCGACAAGAGAGAGGCTACAGACGACCAGAAAACAGCAAGTCATTGCAGACCTACCCTCTCCTGGAGCGAGGACCTCCGAGCTAGGGGCGTAGGCTTGCAGAGCGTCGAAGGGGTTCTCCCTTATGTGCGGCCTCGTACCGGAGGACAACAGGCTTAGCTGTTTTCAGAAGCTCCTTGCGAGTAAACCAGCGATTTTTAGTGTGCGGCTGGTAACAAAACTTCGCAAGGTATTCTTTATCTGGTCTTGTACCTAATTCATCGTCAATGGACTCCACGTCATATCCCTTGCAACAGATCGGAGGACCAAACTGAGGAGGTTTGTTTGGAAATGCACTAGCTGATGTAAATGGTAAGAGTTTAGATGCATGAAAAACAACGTAGGTTTGTAGATGCAGAGGGACATCCACTGTATAAGATGGTCCAAAAGGATCAGCTCCCACTTTATCTAAGACCTGTCATGGACCCATGTATCGTGGCAACAACTTTGGCGAAATGTCCTTCTCGATTGACAACTCGTTACTAATTAGCCTGCTGAATCATAGCCACACCCAGTCACATGTGCGAATGGTCGAAGGACGTCTGTGTCGATTAGCCTGCTGAATCATAGCCTTTTGGGCTTTGAGCAGGTTGGCAAACGCGCGTTCTATGTCCACACGGTAATGCCTAGTGAACTCCTTAGTTTCAGGTGTCAACGTAGGGGTGGCCTTATCGATGATGTCATCGAGAGGTTGTCGTGGTTCACGACCCCAGTGTAACCGGTAGGGTGCGAAGCGAGTAGAGGAGTGTACAGAAGTGTTATACACAAGTTGTGCACGACTCAAATGGAGATCCCAGTCTTGCTGACCTGGACTGATCACATGACGCAACAACTGAGATAGAATCTGGTTCATCACTTCAACCGTCATCATTGGTTTTAGGATGACGACCAGATGTCATGTCCAGTTTGGAATGAAGATAATCCCTGCAGTAGGATTGTCATTCATTGTTGCAAAATCGAGGATCTCGATCACAGACAATGGAGGTGGGTGGTCCATGATGTGTAACCCACCTGTCAGCAAAAGCTGCTTGAACAACGGACATACCTGCTTCAACTGGTAAGGGAATGAACTCTGCATATTTGGAGAACCGATCCACACATACCATAACCTGGTGCATGCCACGAGGCGTGGTCCTACCCATATCAACAAAGTCAATAGACACTAACTGTGCAGGAACATCTGGGATGGGTAGTAGTTTGAGTAGGTCAAGTGGAGGTGGGCGTACCATCCTCTTGCTCTGGCATAACTCACAGGTTTCCACATAGTGCAACATGTCACTCCTCATCTTCTTCCGGAAGAAGCACTGCAACATGGTTGCATACGATTTGAGGGCTCCAAAGTGGCCACG